GACGGCAGTTTTTCCTATCCCTGGAGATAATGTCTCATCGGTTATGGAGACAGGGTTATCCACAGGCACTATCTGCAATCCCTGGAGGCAGCGTTATCTTAATCTTGCTAGGGATGTGTTTCAGGTGGATGAAGAAGACACAGTGAAACGCAGGACAAGCAGCCTTCCTAAGGCCATTGCACAAGGAACACCACTTTACTTCAGATGTTCCCATCCCCTTGAGATCAAAACTGTACAGCTAATCATAGGCTGATGTACGCATCTCCCAAAGATGACCACTCGCCCAAATAAGCAGTCACAGACCCCAGTGTAGTGACTTGGATGAGGAACTATTTCTCAGTAATAGTCCAGAGGTCATCCCCCAACCCATAAAAAGCTCTGTGAAAAGGGGGGAACCACAAGTGAGGGTTTTTATTAGAGAAAATACCTTTCTTCTCCTAGAGACTGGGATTAATTTTCTGTAACTTTGCAAACACCCTGAAGAAAGGTTAAAGTGACTGTGTTCACTTTTAAACACCAAAGACTTTTAAAGCAAAGACTGTCTTGACTAGTTTATACTAATAACGACATAAATCAAAGTTATATTAACAATCATTCACCGGTGCCTTCCTCCACAAACTTTGACGTCTGATGTTTCTACCCTGTGAATAATAAAGGTCCTGTTACCTTTTTCACTTAAAATCAACATCCTACATATGCTATAAAGGTTTCATTTCACAATTATTCGAGCACCTCAGAAATAGTCATGATCCCTTTGAAATTCTCTTGCCCTGGAAATCCTTGTTCTGCTTTTCATTACATCGTTACATTTGCTATTGTTTTAGGTTAAAAAGAAGCACATTCCATTGTTAAATGATAATACTTGCACTTTTCTTGCCCCCAGCACTTCACAAACCATGTGCCCAGTAGTTCAGGTACCCCAGGCATGCCATGTGACTCAAAAGAAGGTATAGAAGCTTGGTGGTCCACCCTTTAGCTGTGTCCTTAAGGAGCTCAACCAGGCAATTATGAGGCCATCTCAGGTCCTGGATATCCCTCTGTGTTAGCTGTAGTTTGGCAGTGCCATTACCAACACATCTTGACTGAGCTGCATCACCAAGAGCTGCACTCTCCCACCTGGATAAAGCATTCCCCAAGATTTTTGGTATCTTTCATCTGGCCTTCTCTTTTCATCTGGGACCCAATTCCCAGCCTGGATGATGAGCTGCACAGCATAACGTTGGATTAGCAGCAATGACATGATGGACTTGTACTTTAGAGTTATCTAACTTGAAAGTAGAGCATCTGGTCCTTTCTACATCTGTTCTTTGTCCAGGCCAAGGACTGACTCTCTTTATTAAGCAATTAAAGATGATGGAAACATGCTCAAACTAAAATCCCAGGGGGGAAAAAAAAAAAAAAAAAGCCGTTTTGCCAGAACTTAGGGGTTTCGCTGATTCCACTAAAAATGTCATTGGGAAGGTTCCCCAAGCTGAGTCTGACATAAGGCCAATGGGACAAGAAGGGGAGAGAAAGACCTACCTCCAAAATAACCTCAGGAGACCTTGTTATCTTTGAGATACAGGTACAGGGTAACAGCTTTCAGCTGCTAAGGCACGGAAAAAAAGCTGCAGTGGAAATATTCTCTGAAAGCAGGTTTATACCCCAAATTCTATGAAATAGACAAAATCCCAGAGCCACCCTTGGGTGGACTTGTTTAGACAACAGAGAAGGGGTCAGGACTGAGGAAGGTGGCTCCCAGGGAGATGTAGATATTTAGACTTGGAAGAATTCAAACCCAAGCCACCATGGCTCCATGGCCTAACATAGACATAAACTCAGGACATAGTTTCTGACTCAAGAATTTGCTTTCATTAGACGCTACTGATTAAAAATGACTGGCAGTCAAATGTTATTTCTGCATCCCACTGGGTCTGAAGTGACTTGGGAGGAAATGGTGGTTAAACAGATCTTGAAATTATACCAACATGTCTTAATCAACAGCACCCCCACTCAGTGCGGTACCCATGCCACCTTGCTCCCTGTCAGGAGACTTCTTCACCCACATCTTTCAGACAAGTGCAAAATTAGCCCAATTAGTTGTACATTCCCTCCCTCTCTGACGAACACAGTTCCAGAAACACTGGAAGGAGTGCAACAGGTCTGAAGTTGTGGTCAGGGTTGCTCATATGAGGGATAGGAACCTCAGCTTCTCTACTGAGGTCTGACCTCTTTCATAGCTGTCTTTCTAAGGGGAAATTTTTTCTTGCTTTTCTCTCTTTCTTCCCCTACCCTCCCCCTTTCTGCTTTGTCCAGAGTCTCTCTCTGAGAGCCAAATTCCCCTCGAACACACTAAAAGTAGGCTTGCTGGAACATCTGCTCTCCATCTGTGGAGCCAGACATATCCCCAGGCAACACTATTAGCAGTGATGGATCTGGAAGGGAACATTAAGCACTGAAGAAGCATCTGCTGAGAAAGAAGAACCCAGCACATAAAACTAACCATGTTATTTGCTTAGCCTCCTTGTCTCTGCCCATTGCTCCCAGTAGACAACTGTGTCCTCCAGAGCCCTGTTCAGGGGAAGACCTGCTGTTCTTTTTCTGATTTTGGTATTTTCAAGTGTCTTAAGTTGGTGTCTAAGGTGGCCGAATGAGCATTACCAAGTGCTCAGTTAACAGTGACTGCAACCAAAAGAGACTCTGAAATCTGGGAACATCCATGGGAGGCCAACAATGCAGCAGTAGAGCTGCAGAGGTGTTTTGGGTAGACATGTTGTAGCATGCAGCAATAAGGAGCTCAGGCAGGAAGGCTTTTCTGCTGCCTGTTTTCTGAATAGCGGAGCCCAAATCTGTAGATTTGTGGAAGGCGTGAACATTTGTAGGTGTAGAAGGGGCTGCTGGGATTGGACATGCAAGCCTACTGCCAACCACGGGGACTGCAGTAGGCTGTTTTGTTTGGGAACACTGCTTGAACATGAAGCTGGGAAATACAGTGATAAGATTTAAAAGAAACCACTGGAGAATAAACTCTGTATCAAATGGCCCAAGTTCAAGTCTCAGCTCTGCCTCCTGTGACTGTGGCCATCCCTTTCACCCCTCCTACATCCCCTCCTGCCCTGTAGCCAGCTGCCTTGTTGGGATTCATCTGGAGTAGAAGCTGTCTGCCATCATGGGCTTTTGTAATACCAGTATGTTGGTATCATGAGAAATTATTTACTTTGTACAAAACTAGTACAGACTTCATGCCCTGAGCTGACCAGAGAAAGACAGACACGTTCTCATTATTTAACCACTATTTGCCCTGTTAGATATTCACACTTGGCATTTTCCTTTGTCAAGCAAATTTATAGATAATGGGTTTCTTGTTCAATTTGCACAACAAGAAGAAAAACAGATAGTCCTAGTGTTTCATACACTGAAATCTTCTCACATCTACTCTTTGCAAAAATCTTTCCTGCAGCCTGTTTTCTATTGCCTTAAGCTTCCTGGAGCAGGGAGAAGTGCCACAAGGCAAAATCCCAGGTTACTAAGAAGAGTCATTAATAGCTGATGCCTTATCTTAAAATAAATCCCTCTATTCACAGGGCAAAGCTACCATACAACGGACTGCATCCTAAGTCATTGCTAGACGGAGGACCTGATCCCTGACCTTTTGGATCCATTGAAAATGCAGGTCACTTTCCTGCTTGCTGGCTCTTTATGCAAAGCGATTGAGATTTGTGCTTTCATCTGTCCTATCAGGAAGCTGTCTGTGGCTCCTAAACTTCACAGTAGACATCTCTTGAAACGTCATGCAGCAGCAGAACACGAGTCTGTGCATGAAGTCAAACATTTGATTAAGTGTCTTGATAAAAGTTCTTTATGACATGTTTCAGGAAAAGCATTTAGGCTTTCTCTAACCTAAAACATGATGCCATTTCATTCATTCAAGTCCTTAAAATAGCACTTAAGCTGCTTCTGAATGAATTTAAACATTGGCTTAAGTATCGTGGAAATCAAAGGGACTGAAGCACCCACTTACCTTGTGCACTTGCTTTAAAGTTCTGGTGGTGCTTAACACGTTCCACCCCATTTGTCCAGCATCCCTGTCATGCTGGACACCTGCTATTCTCCCAGTTTCCAGCACGCCTCAAGATGTGGCCCACCTGGTCCACCACTCTAGGACTGCACCCATTGTGGTTATTCCAGCTGCTGCTATTTCCCAGTGCTTTGTATGGTCTGAGACAAAGCACTGAATGTCTGCATCACCCATGAAATGTGTAAATTAAGTGTGAATCAGAAAATGCAGGAACCAAATGAGAGGGTGTTGGCTTTACTTAATATGAAGTACCACTGGGTTTCAATTTAATGCAGCAGTGCATCTCACATCTTTATCTCAGCCATTCTTTAGAAGTGCAGAAGATGCCACTAGCTTCTGCTGTTAAAGAGGGCAGAATCATATGTTTCTGACAGCATTATAATAGGGTTTTGTTTGTCCAGCCATAGGAGAATATGGGGCTATTAACACTTTACCAAAAAGATAAAAGTCTGTATTTTGTTTCTTCCTCCAACCACTCCTAACCAAAATGAACAACAATAACAACAAAATCCCTGTGTGAACCCTACTTTAAATAGCAAGTGGAGAGACTGAACCTGTGGAAGAACTCAATAACTGCTTCAATGGATTTTCCAGAAGAAAGTAAATAGAAAATTCATTCTCTCTTGTTACATTCATTCATATTGTTTTGTAGTCAACAGCTAATAAAAAGAGAAGCACGTGTACTAATTAGTTTTGAGCAGAGAATAATAGGATCATTCCCCTGCTGAGGAGCCATGAAGTATTTAAATCATCAGTCCAACTTGGATTTGCAACTGGGGAAACTTTTGCAACAGTCTTCCTCAAGGACACAACCAGGACGCTTTGCCCCTGATATTTTTTGGGGTGTGGGGTATTAATGAAATTAGAATCTCATTTTCCTGCTAATCGGTTTAGCCTGAAGTTGTAAATATTTCCATCAGCTTGCTTCCAATCGCTACAGAGGATGGAGGAACTTTGTTACAGCTTCGAGCAGGAAGACTCCATGTCTGAATTTCTCTTCTGGGACCAGACGGATCCCAACGCTCAGCTGGATTACTTCTTACTGGAGTGTTCCTCCCTGGCAGACCAGTTCTCCACCCGGCCCTCCCCTGCTTGCCCACCCTCCCTGGGGCAGCCGGCGGGCGGAGCGGCGGGGGGTGCTGAACTGGACAGCTCCCCCGGCCACAGCCACCAGCGGCGGGCAGCCAACGTCCGCGAGAGGAAGAGGATGCTCAACATCAACCAGGCCTTTGATGAGCTCAGGTGCCACGTACCAACCTTCCCGTATGAGAAGCGCCTCTCCAAAATCGACACGCTCCGGCTGGCCATTGCCTACATCGCTCTCCTTGGCGAGATTCTCCTCTCTGGATGCCATCCCAAAGCCTACGTGGAGCAGTGCCTGAAGAACGGGTTGCAAAGCGAACAGCAGGCAACCTGGAATACAAGTGGTGAGTGAAGGAAGGGTTGTACATTCGGGGATCGCAGCAATGCTTTGGGTTGCCAGCGGGAGTGAGTTGGTCCAATTGCTTTTGAACACCTGCTTGTCACATTCAAATAGCTGTGACAACATACAACTCCATCTTAAAAAAAGAGTAGCTAAAGAATGTCTCAATAAAAAAAACTCCAACCTTGCATTCTAACTTTAAAGATATTTTTCTTAAAAAAAAAAAAAAAAGAAAAAAGAAAGGAAAAAAAACAACTTCCTAAACTCATGGGAATGGTCCCTTTTACAAACAAGATGGAAGATTTTGTTTTTTCTCAGAATACATTTTTAGACTTTTTTTTTAGATTTTCTGGAAAGTTGTTCTTTTATAATGCAAGCTGATAGAGCCTGTAGAGATTTTCTTTATTTTCTTTACAAGTTTTCTTCAGCTTCTACCTGACTGAGAAAAACACCTGGCTTTGAACATAAACAGAATCTAATTTCTTAAAATACATATGTTCAAGTAACCAAGAGTTTCTCAGAGATATTACAGTTTAACACTGAAAACCAGGGTAATCAAGACAGTGCACTCAAATTTCAGGTTTGTTTCAAAGTGTAGGGGAGCAAATGCCTATTTGCAATTTACATTCTTATATAATTATTTCTATTTTAAAGTGAAGGACTGTTATTCTGTTTTCTGTTTGGCTTGTACTTAATCCTGACTTACGTGGGATTGAACTTTGAACACCAGAATATGTTGCTTCGTCAATCCACTGTATGGTGGAGATGGAAAATTGCCCAAGGGCCCAACACAGGGCCTGAAGTCTCAGATAGAAAGCAACAGATTTTCTGTTACTTAGCAGTGCAGGGAGGAGCAGGGGGGGGGTTTCAGTAGTTCCTGGCACCTTGCATTATAAGGTAATTAGCCCCCCTTTCTAACTCTGTCCCTTTGCAGTATAAGCTCCTTTGGGTTTTGTCACTTTTTGGAAATGGGACTTGAAGCATATCAGCCTTCAAAAAGTGCAGCGTAAGCAGAGAAAAGTCATTCCAAAGAATATTCCCTTTTCATTGCGCAGGGATTTGTCAAAGGGACAAAGCCTTTTTGTCCCTTTGACAGGGAAAAAGCAATCAGTTTACTTTAAAAGAAAAGTTAATTAAGTCTTTTCTCCTTTCCTATTAATTTCCGTTGGCTACATGACTGGGAAAATGAAACCTGATCACAACACTCTTGACTACAGAGAACAGTTATATTTTATTTTCCAGCTGCCTCCACCTTTAATAGATAAGCAGGTTTTAAAACACCACCAATGGCTCTCATAGGTATCACCTCTTTTGTCAGACTTCTAGTTAACTAATATTTCTGAAGAGCTCCACTTGCAAAGATGTAAATGAAGTGAGGCTACTTTTCTGGAGAGGCTGAGTAATTGACTTGTTAAATGCTAATTTAAATGGTTTTAAATGCATGTGGTATGTCTTTACTTTGTTTTCCTTTCTCCCTTCTGTTCTGTGCAGATCTGACAGCCCGCCTGTCTTGGGTAAAGTGGGATTAAGTGGTACCCAAAAGAAAGATCTTTGAAGGCAGCATATTGCAAAACCTGATGACCTGCCTGCTGGGTACTGCCTGTTAAATTCTCAGTACTTCAAGCAAAAACAAGGCACTTACAACTTTACTTATTGTTACAGATCACTTTCCACATATCCAGCATCCAGCCTCTTTTGGTCTTCATTCATTGCTGTGTAGGACCTTCTGCTTCCCTTTCTTCCAGTTTCTCACACACTTATGGATGGCTCTTGCATGAAAATACCAAAATGATTTTTAATCTGTGTTATTACAATCACAGCAACAACATTTTCTCTTCCACTGAATAAGAACAGTGTCGAAATCACATTTCCAGGACATGGGAAACCTACCCCTGATCACAAGAGAAAATGAAGCACCACATGTTGCAACCTATTGGTTGGCTTAAAATGTCCAGGGCCATAACTGTAAAAGTCACCAGTGATTTAGAGTGCAGAGATCATGAAAGGCCCAATTTTCAGGAGGTGAGACGCAGGTCTTTCTGTCTCTGCGTCTCTCCAAAATTTCTCATGCCTTCCTCCCAGCGTGACAGCTTTGGAAGGTCTGAGTCCAAGGCACTTTGGTATGAAATGGCTGATGACTGCTAGCACTCGGGCACCATCTCCTCTACACCCCTCATACATGTTGGCTTGAAAGCTCCTGCAAAGATAGCATCTGGCTTTTGACATTTTTACAATAATGTTTCTGGTTTGTGATTTTTTTTGAGCAAATGCCAGCAAACTGATGCTGCTGCAGCCACAATCAGGAAGGCTCTGATAAACTCTTCCAACAAGAAATGCCATAAACATTCCCCCTCCAACAAAATAGGGAGGCAAAGCACTGTGTTCACACTTGGAAAATTACCACCAAAGGGTTGTTTTCACAGAATACCCATCCTATTCTGCAGCCCACAGTAATAATGAGGATTTTCATACTAGCAAAAATAAAACCATGAAAAAAAGCCTGTTTCTGGCATAATTCTCCCATATTACCTGAGCATACCCTAAAGCTAACATTGTGTTTGCCCGTTGAATGCATTTTTTCCCCTGCCAATCTTATCCTTTAAAGGCTCTGAATCAATTTTTTTGGTAAAGAAGAACCATCGTACATCTTGCACGCTTCTCTAACACCCTGCTAGTGCTCTCAGAGATCTGAAACCATTCTGCCTTAATGTACATTATCATGGCATTTCTTAGCAGGTAGGATGCTAGAGATAGATAAAAGAGAATATATTTAGTTTAACATACTGATTAGTTCTCATAGCTTTGATTTGTACAAAGCAAAACCATGTCAGGAACTGATGGTTTTGGGGGGAAACAAAAATGAAGAGGAGCCTTTGAGGGGAAAACTGAAAATGACCTTTTCACCTTTTCCATTCTTCTGTCAAAACAAAAGAAGTAATTTCATCTCAGATGCAACAGCGTATTTCAGTGAACTTAGAATAAAACATTTCATCTCGTACTTTTGACTCTGTCTGCTTTTTCGCCCGCTTAAGACAGTTGGATGAATTTTTACAGGAAAAAGTGCCTGAAAAGTTGAAAACCTTAAAAAAACACCTGAAAGTGCAATTTTCCACTTTCACCTACTTCTCTACTCATTTTGGTTAAAAAAAAAACAACCAACCAACCAAACAAACAAAACCCCAAAACCCACCACAAAAATGCTTATTGGGTTTTACTTGAATAAGTAAATAATATAAATCTCTCAAATTTGAAATCATTGTTTTTTCCAAATCTGTCACTCTCCTTTGATAGAAGGGCAGCAGGTCCTGCAGGCACAGATCTGGCTGGCAAATCAGGGCACGTGGCTGTTTCTACTTTATTGGCATGACTTGGGTCACATCACTGATGCATTGCTCCACTCTCCTCTGGCTCCTTTGTTCACCTGATAGCCCACAAATACTTTGATGGGTGCTCTTGGGCAACTCCTCGCACACAGGAACCCAACTGGGACCTCCAGTTGGGTTGCAACACTAGTAATACTGAAGTCACCCCAGACGGGGCCACATGATACCTACAGCGTATCAATGCAGCACTCCCAATGCTTTGCTTTTTTGGATGTGAGTCCACCTTTCTGCATCCTGAAAAACCTAGGTCTGTGTTATCATCCTGCTTCAGCTCACCTCACAGTCTGAGCTTAGCAAGGCTCTGGTGGAGTCACCCTAGTGACTACCCACTCACACAAAAGAAACACGAGGACATTAACAGGACCCACAAGCCTTGAGAGGACCCTGTGCAAGACCAGCAGGATAAGTGATGGGCATGGGTGGTCTCCACACTATCCTTCTCCTGGCCCACAACAGCTCACCGGTGGCCCCTGTACTCATGAAAGGGTAGGAAAATAACACGATCGAGGTTTGCCTGGCAGGGAGACAAAAGCAGGAGGCTGGTTTTTTTCTAGGAAAGTAGGTGTGATGGCACTCAGAGGAGGACACTGTTCTGAGGGAGGTGCACCTTAATCTTTACCTCAAAGACTAGGGCTTATACGACCATGAATTCAAACTCTTAACTCTTAAATAGCAGAGTTAAGAGTTTAAATAGCAAATAAAAGGAGGCTTATCTCCATCTCTTTCCAGAGGACCCTTTGTAAAGGAGCATAGTGCACTGACGAAGAAAAAACCACCCCGACCCTCTTCCTCCCACCTGTTCTGGCAATGCTGATCCTCTGTGTCACTGAAGGTGACACAAGTGGCACATGTTAGCAGTGATGGGTGGCCAGAGATGATCACCCAGCAATGGTTGGTCAGAGATGCCTTGGTGCTTGGGTCCAGGACCTCCAAGCACTTGGCTGGGACCTAAAGGAAATGAAACCATCCAGCCCACGGCCTCTGAGCTCTGCAGCACACCTGGAAGCAGTGGTCACATTGCCACCTCCTTCCAGGCTCAGTCTCATCAGTGGGATGAGACTCCCAGGGCTGACCTCCATATCTCAGAATCACATTTAGTAGCCCAGGACCCATGCTCTCACTGAGGCACGCAGGGGCAGGAATAGCCATGTGCCATTTTTCCAAAGCCGGACAAGCCTTCCCACAGCAGACCAAGGGTGGTAGGCTGTCCTGATGCCACAGCCCCCAGCACCTTTGGCCCGAGGAAGCTCTTTCAACAGCCCAAGGAGCGATGCTCAGCCATCTCTGCAGTTTGGTTGCCAGCCTGCAGCTCTGCACTGATGGGAAATGCAAAGATCTGCATGTCCTCACCTCCTGAGATAACACTACCATCCTGCGACTGCAAAAATGGCACAACCTGTTGTCAGCATGGGAAGGGGAGGGCTGAACCAAGGCAGCTATTTAACAAGTGTCCAAATAGACCCAACAGGGCTTTCTGCAAGTTTTCGTCAGGTCGTAAATTTCTCCAGGGTCCTTATTGATGGTGATAGGTACCTGTGACTCATCCCTCCAGGATGCTCTCAGACAGACCCCACAGGTCACACACCGTAGCCATCAGGGAGCAATAACTGCCTCTCTCATGTTGTCATG